CAAGCTGGGGTGGGGGGAGAAGCGGAGTGGTGGCACGCTCAGGGGAGCAGGCGGCAGTGGAGCAGAGGTGAGCTGAGGGGGAGTAGTTCCTCTGCCGCCCCCCCCCCCCCCCGGGGTTACTTCCTGCGGCCCTCCCCACGCCCCCCACCGCTGCAGCTCACCTCCACTCAGGGCCGGCTCCCAGCGCCCGAAGGAAAAAAAAAAAAGAGCCGGAGTGCCGCCCAAGCACATGCTTGGAGGGCTGGTGCCTAGAGCCGGCCCTGCTCAGATGCTCCAGGTGGGTGGTAAATTAATTATTACAGGGGCTCACCAAGGCCCCAGTGCAGAGCCAGGGGGCGTGGGGCAGATCCCAATGCCCAGGCAGGGTGTCAGGAGGCACTGGGGGGAAAAGAATTGTCCACGCAGCTGGTAAAAACGTAACATGGGGCGCCACCACAGACATGTGGATCACGACCCTCGACTGGGGATTAGAGCTGGTGACAAATTGATTTTCCCGTTCAGCGGCTGAACCAAAAAAATCCAAAACCACTTCCGTTCAGGTTGACCAAAACGAAAAACGGGGGAGGAGGGGATTCCATTTTGGGTAGAACTAAAGGGTCCGTTTTCTGGTGGGTTAATGGATGTTTTCACTCTAAGTCTACACTACCCCCCGGATCGGCGGGCAGCGAACGATCCAGCGGGGGTCGATTTATCGCATCTAGTTTAGACACGATAAATCGAGCCCCAAGTGCTCTCCCGTCGACTCCTGTACTCAGCCGCCCCCAGAGGGGCAGGCAGAGTTGATGCAGGCAGTTATCCACGTAGCTGAAGTCGCGTAACTTAGATCCACACACACACACACACACACACACACCACCCACCCCCCACCCCACCCCGTGTAGACCAGGCCTAATCTATTCAATTTTTCTGGAATGTTTTTTACCTGTTATTCTTTTCAGCTGAAACTATTAACCACATTTGACCTCAATTCACAGACAGTTTCGCTCCACCTGAAACTGCGTTTTTCACCCAGAACTGCCCATCTCCTTTAGCCAGGGCTCCTGCCCCTTCTCGAAATCAGACCCTTTCGGAGTCTCAAATTGGGCCTTGAAGCACTAGGCACCTTGGCAAACATAACCCCGGAGGGCCTGTTCCCCCCCCCCAAGTTACGGGACACTTGTCTCTCCCCTTCCCTTTGCTGGGGCAGAGGCTGCCCAGCTATTCTGAGAATCGGGCCCTGTCCCTTTAAGACCCCTCAGACCCCCCTGCCCCACAGGAGGGGTTAAATAGCTTCCCAGCCTTTGTCTCCCATGGTTCATTCCCCTCAGGAGCCTTGTTGCCAATGGCTGACTCCCCCCATAGCACATGATTGCTGGCCTCTCGCCAGCGGGGCTGGAAAACTCCCTCAAGCCCAGAGATCCTCTGTCTGGGATGAGGGGACCCCACCCCAGTGCAGATGACTTCGTGGTATCTAGGCAGCGAGGAGCAGAGATGGGAGAAGGGTAAACATCCCCTCACAGCCAAGGGCTGATGAAACTTCAGCGCAATTCCTCCTCCCAGGGCGGAGGGTTAACACTGCAGCTCCCGAGCAGCTGGTGCCTGGCTGCTGATCGGCCTGTGTCCAAAGCATCCACCGGAGGCGGACTCCATCGGCTGGGAGATTCGGAGGGGCACATGGTGGGCACGTTTTTCCAGGATCCGGCCTCGTTCCAGTGACATTGGGCCCCATTCCCAGCTCCCCTGTCAATGGGGAGAGGGACAGGGGGCGGCCATATTCTGGGCCCCTGAAGCTGCTGTAATTAACTCACGCTCTCTGCCCCCTATGGGCCCTGGGGGGCAGAAAACAGCAACGGCGCCATGTGCTCTGAGCACAAGCCTGATCTTCCCTATAGGCCTTTGAGGGGGGCAGAAACATCCCCCACGTGCCCGGCACAAGGGGCCTCCCCGCTGGGTGGTGCGGGACAGAACAAGCACATCCTAGAGGCCAGAACAAGCTCAGAGAGTTCACAATAGGTCTGGTTGCTCGGAGCTGGGTCTGGACGGGCAGGGAACCCCAAGAGGCAGGCGGCAGGAGCAGGGGAAGGACTGAGATTGTCGGCCTAGCCACGGAACCAGGCAGTGCCAACGAACCGCGCCCCTGGGCAGCGCGACGGCCGGAGGGGGTTGCCCCAGGTGGGCAGGCCCACAGGGGCGGGTGCAGTCAGTGCCCGGAGGCCCCGAGCGGACAAGCCAATCACTCACCACGGCTGTGAACTGGTGGAATTCGGGGCGCAGGTCCGACCCCCGCAGGTGGATGTATGAACCTTTATTCCCCATCTGGTCGCTGGGGAGAGAACGCACAGAGGGCTGGTCACATCCAGCAAAGGAAAGGGGAATCCCACCCCCCGCCCACAGAGACCTCCCTGACCTTTACCCAGCGGGCCCGGACCACCCCTGATTATGCTGCTGTGTGGGAGAAAACAACTGGCTGCTGCATCTGCTTCAGGAGTAGGGCGAGCAGTGCTCAGCATTTCCATTGAACCCTCAGGGCTAGGACCCCCATTCGACAGATGGGGAAACCGAGGCACAGAGCAGTACCGTGCCCAAGCACTTGCTGAGTCGGGGATAGCACCCTTGAGTCTGCCTCCCCTGCTCTAACCCCTAGACCACACTTCCCTCCCAGCTCTAACTACTAGGTAACGCTGCCATTTACAACATGTGCGCACAGTCTGTTGGTTGCTTGCTGGCTGCACTGCTCCCCTTTCCCAGGCAATCCGCCCTCCCCGGGGGGGGGGAGGTGGGAAATGCAGACGCTAATTAAGCTGGCTTTGCTCCTGCCCAGAAAAGAGCCCACTGAATTTCACCCTGGAAGCTGGGCTAGGTCAGTACCGTTCCATGACTTGAGACCTCCCGGAGAAAGCCAGAAACTGCCGGGAGGGAGTGGGGCAGAAGGCTCAGCAAGGGGTGCGCTCCCTGCTGGCCGCAATGCCCCAGTGCGGTGTTAGAGGGCGCTGTACTGCAGGGGGCAGGGACTCAGCTCTCCCCTCATGCTCAGTGCTGGCCAGTGGTGCTAGGGGGTGTAGGAAGCGTGGACAAGATTGACGCATGAGATCCTGACCTCCTGGGGGTCGTTAAGAATCGACAGCACTTCTCACTGGAGCACAAAACTCGGCTTCGTGGGAAAATCTAGCAAATTCCCCCGGCCATAGGCTTCTTTACGTCCTGCCCTAACCTTGTAGAGTGTTGTGTTATTGCTGATAAACAACTGCCACGCCCCAGAGGTGGCTGCATCTCAGCAGCAGGTGAGCCATCCCTGTACAAGCAGTGGCCATGTTCCACCTCAGAGGTGGCTGCATCTCAGCGGACGGGGAGAGGGAGGGTGGGAGCAATGATCCCTGGGGTTGAGACTTCACGAGCTGAATGCAGCAGGCTGGACAAGCAGCAGGGGCCCATACAGGCCAGGCCCTGGAGGAAACAGAGACGCTCCCTGCTCACTTCATGACGTGGCCACCCAGGGGTCCGCAGGGCACGGCCCGGAGCACTCACCAGTAGTTGGGTGCCGAGAAGACGGTGATGCACTTGCCCTCGTGCGTCACCTCGTAGCCCTCGGGCTTGACCTCGTGGCTCCGGATGATGTAATCGAGCTGGTTCCGCTCCAGGAAGCTTTTGGTGACGTCGGGCCCGAACTGACAGCTCACGCCGCGCTTGCTGACCGACCGGCCGTTCTGGAAAGGCGGGGGGAGGGGATCCCGTCGGAGTCACTGAACATGTCCAGACGCGGCTGAGCGGGGGGAGGGGTCTGCACGTGGGGTGGGGAGCAGAGATCCCACAGACGCAGGCTCACAATGCAGTGTGGGCGCCCCCACCGGCTCTCAGCCTCCTTTCCGACCTCCCAGATGCCGCTTAACTCCCTCCTACCTGCCAGAGGTTTGGGCTGGCGCTAGGTGCTACAGACAGCCCTGGGCAATCTCCTAGTCATCCCCGCACTGATAAACCTCTAGGGGGCGAAGGGGAGTCAGTGTCCACGGCCCTCAGCCTCACAGCAAACGAGCTTGTGCTAGTGGAGACGGGCAAGCCCCTGCCACGCCTCTGAGCCCACTAAACTTACCCACCCCAGCCACTGTCAGAGGGTGGGACTGACCCTGGGCAAGCAACAAGCAGAGAAGCAGATGGTCCCTCCCTCCCCCTGCAGTGAGCGGTCAGCTGGGGTGGAGAACCAGCATCAGCTGCCAGGCCCCACACAGCTCCCTGGATGCCCCATGCTGGTGAGGGCCAGCAGAGGCCGCTCTGAGTTAGCCCACCGGACCCTCCACCCTGAGCAGTGACCCGCTCGGCCTGTGATCGGCAGATGGGGGGGGGCAGAGGACAGTGGCTCGGCGCAGAGCCCGCACCGGGAGCTGAACTAGCCGCACGCCCGTGGTGCGGGGCATTTCACTGGCACTCACCTGAGGCTGCGGGTCGGACCAGAGCAAGTCGCACATGGGACCTGCCAACGAGGAGAGAGCACATGTCACTCCACGCAGGGCGTGCTGGGGGAGCGCCACCCTCGCGCCAATCCTACACCAGCTAGCGTCTATGATTGAGTGAGCCTTCCTCCCCCCGCCCTGTCCCCTGGGTCCCTCCAGCCCAGACCCTCCCCCGCCCTCCC